GCCATTTTTTAATGTTTTGTATATATGTATTGTGTTTACGACATGACGTATTTTTTGTATCTGTCTAGCTCGAGGAAAAACTCATCATAGGTGAATAATTCCGAACAAAATGACCAAAAAAGAGGTATACGGCCGAAGTAATGACCCTAAGACGAGTAAATAATTACACGAACTATTCTCTTCATCTAAAAAGATTTATAATTTTTTATTACGATATATATGTGACATGAGTTTTTTTATTATCTGTTCAGTTCGACATGGTCACTCGATGTGAATAATTTCGAACAGAACGACCAAAAAAGAGGTATACAACCATAGTAATGACCCTAAGACGAGTAAATAATTACACGAACTATTCTCCTCATCTAAAAGGATTAACAAATTTTTATTACGATATATATGACATGGTTTTTATTTTTTATTTTTTTTTATCATCTGTTTAGCTCGACTTGGTGACTCGAGGTGATAAATCTGAACAGAATCACCAAAATAAGGTACGACTAGGGTGTAAGTATTCTAAGAAAAATTCTTTAGCAAGTTTGAACCAACATATACTATTGTTAATTATATTTAAGCACATATATTATATCATACATGGACTTATAGTAGGTGAAAAAACCAATAAAACTCACTATCATCAGTTGCTCAATACAAACTAATAGTGAATGTCCATATCTATTAACATAAAGTGGACTGTTCCTAATCCTACATGGTCTGACTATATTATATTCCTATGTAGGTGTGCCCAAAAATATTTGTTGCTTGGTAGATTTAATGCCCTCTTCTGGCCTATTCATTTTCTTTTTGGCAAACGGCAAAGTGGTACTCATTCATTGAGGATAATTGGCTTTGGTTGGACCAAGTTTGAAAGAAGATTAAACATGACGACATGGCTACCATATATCCGGAATTGAGAACATGTAATATTGAAGTGAATCTTGACTGTTATACAAGAAGTTAATTCAAAGGAACTCATTTAAATCAAGCATCACCACCACATGGTCTTCTAAGAAGGGATGTCCTACAAAATTAAAGTAACAAGTACTGAGAATTCAAGTGTTTTCAGCAAACATTTTAAGTCAAATTCAGATGTTTGGTCTAAGACAATGACAAGTATTTATTTATTCAAGTACTAAGAATTCAAGTGTTTTGAGTAACATTTTAAATCAAATTCAGATGTTAGGTCTAAAGCAATAATGTATTACTCACCCGACCCACTTATTACAATCCGGCCTGAACCTTTGGGTAGGCTCTGTAGGATCAACAATAATAATTGCACGGAGTATGATAAAATTCAGTACGGTCATTGTTGAAGTTCCTTCGAGGACGACTCCCTCTTTCTTGGGAACATAGGATAACACCACAGGAAACAATCCTAAGCACAAAAGGAGGGGCTGTCTATCATTAGTTTTGGGGAAGGAGGGGTTGTCTATTACCATCAAAGTGCATGTTTCATTCAGGTTGGATTAAAGCCTGTCGTACCTTATTTTGACATGCGCTTTGAATTAAAATTTTTTTTGATGTGTCTTGCAAAGGAGCATCGAGTGTTTATGATGTGCTTCTTCTTGCGGATAACTTGAGGTTAAAGTCAACCTCTGTAAAATGATCATAAATCTATCTGCCACTAACCTTTTCTGGAGCTTGCTACACATGAGTCTTTTGTGCATGGAGTATAATTTTTTGTCAAGTCTTTAATTTTTGAACTTTCTCTAAGTCAAATTTAGAAGATGATTTTGCAATGATGTTGGACAATAAGTTCTATTGCCATGTTAATAGGTAAAATATCATGGATGTAATGCACATATGTTTGTCCTTACCTTAAATCCATAATCGATTACATTACTGTTGACTTGTAAATGGTGCACTGTTTTACTAGATTCAAATCCTTGTCGTTATACTTTTCATTCAATAGTCGATCATTCATTGTTAATAAGAGAGGAACCCACTTATAAACAAGGGGTTTCAATTGTATTAATAATCAGTGATATATTATTAAGTGAAACAAAGAAAAAAAATATAATGAGGAGAATCTTAGTACTCGGCTCACCCATTTGAGTCAGAATACCTAAAAATATAAATTATAATTACCAATATATAATAAGGTAAAATTAGCTTGCAAGTTGCAACTATAGAGGAAATATTTAGGTGACATATTTTAGTTGGTTCACTTTTATTTAGCAATCAACATTAGAGAAATTATTGAAATGGTTTAGGGCCCTTGGTGTGACATAAGACAAGCTAGCTTGCTTACATGAAAGCCGTACTTCTGTCTGTATGCTGCCTTCTGATCCCTATGCATCCAATTGAGCATCTTTGTACCCCCGTGACTCGGCCCCACTGTTAAATCAGTTGCAAGTTTAATCTATTTAGGTCGGATTGTGTCACATCAATTGGCCGTACCACTAATTTTGCAAAATTAAATTGAGATGACAAGTGCTGGAAGGCCATGAATTCATGGCATGTGAGAAGGGCATAAATTCATGGAGATTTAGATGACACATGCAATGGGTTGCTTTGTCATTTTAAAAGGAGAGAGAAATATGAATTAGCTAACTCATCGAACCAATAGGTTGGGAGGTCAATTCTAGCTAAAAATATTAATTCATCGTTGTTTTAGAGGCTCTATTATGTTTGCCCATTAGATTCATTAAATAAAAAAGTCGAAATAAATTTAGTTGAACATAAACAATACGAATGTGACATGACATCAGTTCTCAAATATACTCGATTAAATGAATTTTAATATGATATTGATGGTGTAAGAAACAGAGAAATTGGAGTGTAATGCGCGGAGAGTTATGATTTGTTTATACTTATTCCTGTGTTTATCGTATTATTTGAGAAAGATGAAGAAAATAATTACAAATTAAAGAGTGTTTAATCCCCTTTTTCAATAAGGGGTCTCTCTTATTTATACAAGTAAAGGTTTTTATCCTAATTCAAGATTGTGTAGTTCCCTCAATCAGTTGGAATTATTTGAAAAATATTTGATTGTTGATAAAAATCTTAATTCCTGATGTCAATGTGGCATTCTTGAGGCGGTAGGTTGGTGTCCAAGATATAATTGACTTGTTGAGCTTTTATTCTTCTTCTTTTAGTAATTAGATTTGAGCTAACTTGTGTGATTATAGCCGAGCTATTTGGATATAACTGCTTGATTTGAGAGTTAATATAATTGTGCTAGATATAATGAATTAAGTTAAACTTCAAGTGAACCACCTATCCTCTGAATGTGGCTTACACAAGGGTTAGAATAAAGACAAATTTAGTTGTGAATTCTAATGTGACAGACATATATCTGCAGAGACCAATTAATAGTTCAAGTCACACACTTCCATATTCCATTTTTTCTTCTGAAAATTCCCTNTAATGTGACAGACATATATCTGCACAGACCAATTAATAGTTCAAGTCACACACTTCCATATTCCATTTTTTCTTCTGAAAATTCCCTTCAACTAGAGATTTATGGTATCATCGTATACAATTTACATTTTCTTTAAATCATGCATGTCAACAATCAAATGTTTTTTACAATTAGCAACAAAAGCGCAATCAAATGTTTGTGGTTGGTTCATAAGTCCCGACATGATTCCTGGACTAGGAAAACAAAAAGCCCATAGAGGGCAACGGCCGGTCGAGCTGGTTCCAGAGGAGCAACGGGGCCCACTTGCTATTGACCTAATCGTTGTGAAATTGTCGCCCCGACATTTGGAGTTTCTGTTTTCTTCTGATAGTTATTGTAACTTTTTTTGAATGTGTCGAAGTTTCTGAATTGAGAATAGAGAAAAATTACCTGAAATGAGGAGAGTTGTTCGAGAGAATCTTGTTCCTCGAAAGACTCTGAAAATATTACGAATTATTATCTCGAGTTGTAAGTTCATATTTTGTAATAAAAATCTACGTTGTCTAATACAAGTTTATGAATTATTGTATAAATTTAAAGTTTATGTTGTTGCTTTTAAGTCCAAAGAATATGAGGCTAAGGCGGGTCAAGACCCATTATAAAAAAAAAGATGCCAAAATAAAAATTCAGTGTAGAAGATTTTTATCATAAAGATGCACTTATTGGTAAGACATTTCAGTTTGAAACCTAAATAACAGTTGACAACCGATGCCCGTTAACATTGTTTTTTTCTTGGTAAATGCTAACGGTTCCGAGGAAAACATGGTAAAGAGTGATTATACGATTGTAAACCAATCGTGTTGTATGGTCTTTTTTTTTTTTCATGTGTTTTAAAATATTCATGTAAATTATGAACCAAAAATCTCCAAATTTGTATTCTTTTATCTCACAATCAGGTTCAATAGGCATGGATGTTCTTAATCCAAACACAATCAAAACCAAATCAAAAACCATTTAGTTCTAATATAATTTATACAATACTATGATAAGAAATTAAAAATAAAAATCATACATTTTTCTTCTGACAAAACAGCTAAAGAATCATAATCCATGGGCCAATGTTTTAAATATGTGGGCCTGTGTGATTTTTTGGGTCTCAAGGATATCCAAGTCCTATTTACAAATGCATATCAAATATGCAACGCAAGCCCAAATCGTTATAGCACCCAATATAATTGGCAAATGGGTGATTTAGACTGGTGTTGGCGGGTCAATAACAGATCAAGTATAATTCAATTTATTCGTGACCCACTTAATAGACTGAGTATGATGAATTGGGCCATAACGGGTTGAGTTTAAGATATTATAGTCGCATAGATAATCTAAATTCTTACCGACAATCTCTCCCAATCTTTTGAAAAGGAATGAAAATTTCCGTTATTAGCTATGATTCTATGAATTAGCATAAGAAAAAATTAAAATACATTAAAGCTTTTCATTATCATATAAGTGATTTAAACACACACACACACACACACATAGATACAATCTCAACTACAGATGAAGCAACATAGGTATTCATATAGAGGGCACCAATGGTGATTCATTGGTGCTTTTATTCATGCTTCTAGTGAACTATATATTATTATTTGCTTTAGTTGTGAGGCTTTGCTTCAGTCTCCACATCCATGGCCTCACCAGCGTAAGAGCAGCACCGTCCACAACCCCTTCCATAATATCCTCGGCCACAGCAACCATAATAGCAATTACCTCCTCCCCCACGGCCACCATTTCCACCTCGGCCACCATATCCACCGCGGCCACCATATCCACCACGGCCACCACCAGGGTACCCTCCATACCCTCCACCAGGGTTTCCTCCATATCCACCACCTGGGTATCCTCCATATCCTCCGCCTGGATTGCCGCCATATCTGCCACCAGGATACTTAGCATCATCTACCCCATTTGTCTCGTCAGCTGCACAAATAATGAACTTGCATGTTAGCACAAATATATATGGTTATACGCACATCTAGTACTCTTAACACATTCATAATTTCAACAGTGGTTATTTACGAATAATACTACTGGACCATTTTAACTGAAACGTTATAAGATCAGGATATCATGTCTCTTGCTAAGTCCGGATAATAATATTTCTCTTTTGCAAAACCAATAATACGTAGGAGATTTGACAAAGAGGCCAAAAACCGAAAAACTCACTGTTTTCATTGGTAGTGGAAGTCTTAGCCAACTCCCTAGCTGCCACCTCTGAGGTAATGAGAAGAACAATAACCATTGAAAGGCCAAGAAAAAGAAATGCCTTGGAACCCATATTGTTTGCACTTGGAACTTTATGCTATGAAAGGATGATGAAGATGGTTGTGTTACCTTTCAGCTATTTATAGGCGGAGAGAGAGAGAGAGTAACCATTAAGTAGGGATGGTCAATGATTTAGTTGGGTGTTGGAAGTTTGGCTTTTAATTCGGACAAAGCCAATCTTACCTTATGATTGCATTTTATTCCCTTTTTTTTATCAGATAGCTTCGTGTCTTATAAGAACTTTTTAGGGGAGTGTGAAGAAATTTTCGATTTATGTCTGTGTTCCTAATAACATACCGGTTAACATCTCTTTGGAATCAGGTTATGACATATTTATTTTACATAAATATCTTAATCTCTTGTTTTTGACTGAATTAAAGAGGAAATTAGTTAAAATACCTATAAATTGATCTGAACATTCCTGACTTTTGAATAACAAACAAAAAATTTCGAAGCCAATATATTTTTGAACACTTATTAGGCTAGAAGTCTAACCAAATTTTTTTTAGGTGAAAAGTCTATTTGGGAAACAAATATCTAATATACCTCTAACAACAAAATGACCGCTATAATAAAACAAATTATAAAACTTAACTTATAATTAAAACAAATTTCTTAAGTCCTGAAGTTGCTCGTTCCCCTTCCGGAATCATTTTCAATCAGTGTAAGTATACTTTGGAGATTCTCTCTGAATGTGGTCACTTGAATGCTGCTTTGCTCTTCTCTACATGTCGCAGCCTACATTGATTCTAATTGGACAAACTGTCCCTTGTCTTGACACTCGACTACCCGTTACTTCATTTGCCTGGTCGACAATCCCATTTCTTGACAAACCAAGAAGCAAGCTACTTCATAGCCTGTTCCTCCGGTGAAGTAGAATATAGGGTTATGGCTGTCACCGCAAGTTAGTATGACTTCAAAAGCTTCTCCACGATCTTGGTGTCCCTCATTCTCTGTCAATGACCTTTTCCTGTAATAATTAATCCGTTCTCTACATCGTTCATAACCCTGTTTTCCAGGAGATGATAGAACACATTGAGATTGATTGTCATGTCATTTGTGAAAAGCTTCGTAGCTATCTGATCTCTACGGCGCACCTCCTTGCTTGTGATTAGATTGCAGACATTTTCACCAAACCTTTTGGCCAGGAACTATTTGACCGCTTTACTCACAAGTTAGGCATTACGGACTTTCACGCACCAGCTTGAGAGGGTGTATTAGGAAAGGAAATTTTTGTTGATATGTACAGCTAGGACCAGCTAGGACTAGCTAGGACTATAAAGATACATTGATGTTAATGATACAAGTAAGGAATTGATTCCACGATTTCTAAGAGTGAATGAGGTTGCAGGGCTGCCAACCACTACATATGTCCATCAGCTCTATGAAATTTATTGCGTTGTGAATGGAGCTTGCAGCTAATATCCAGATAAGGGCACTTGTCTGAAAAAAATATAAGTATGGTCGTGAAACTTAATAATTTGTATACAAACAAGATTCTTTAAATCGGTGATCGATATTATAATTTTAAACCATTATTCAGAGAGAGAGAGAATGAGGATAGAATAGGAAAACGGATATGAATTTATCTATCGTATGTTTTTAAGCCAATTACAAGTAAGAAAGACGAGAGGCGTTTAAGAGCAATGATTCCCACTTCCCATAAAAATATCAAATGCATGCTTCTTGTCTTTTTCCTATTTATGGATATGGATATTGACTCTCGTATCTATCTCCAAACATGCAGTCCTACACGAGCTTTATGTAATTGGTTGGGTCAAGCTATAATAATGCCGAATTTTCTTTCGTCATGCATGACTCTCTCTCTCTCTCACGCTCTTGTTGTTTGTGATGTGTCAAATATTGTTAAATTACTTATTAAAATTTTTGATTTAAAATTTTTAATGTATAATAAAATAGTTACAATAAAGAGTTATAGAGAAACGAAAGAGTTATAATAGAGTAACGAAATAGTAAACAGATACACGTAACTGTTTGTTTAAACAATATAAATACTAACTCGATTGTAGAACATGAACTATTATTGAACTTTTAGTAGATCAAGGCCAATATTTGACACTATGTCCTTAAAACAAATTTCGCCCCCACACGCGGTGCTTATGAAATACCGAGCACTGCCCCCCAAGATACAATGATCTTTACACGAACAGAAGTAGCACTCCAATCTATTTGTCTAGCAAACCAAAGTCGTGTTGTGTACTCACTAAATGCACTGTCTTAATGACAAAAATAATATGTTCTAATGTCTGCCTTATTGTTAAAAACAAACTGAATAAATGTATGAAATTAATGAAAATTATCATGAGTATTTATAAACACATTGGTGACTTTTTGGACAGTCACCTTACTAAAGGACACAACCCAGAATGACAAGACACAACAGCCAGTAGACACCTTAAGTAACTGTTCTTCGTGAACAGTCACAACTCCAAATTTCGGACTAGTGGGAAGCAGAAATCCGAACCAGTGCGATCTAACGGGTATCAAAAATTTATTTCAGGTAAAAAATTTTCGTCCAATTAATTAAATCTCCAAAAAAATAGGGCTTGCTCTAAATCACACCCGTATTCGAGCCTGGCCCGGCCCGAGTCGTGGTCGAGGTGGGCGGGCGGCACGTGTGGTTGAACCGAAGGCATGTAGGTATTCGCTCCGCTCATAAAACTATGGTACCCCTTGGGGCCCAATCCCATAGAGCAAACTTTACCTATATATATCCATGTTGAATTTCTTCTTCAATCAATGTGAGATTGGTGTCACATCCCTCATTGCACTTCCTATTTTCTCATTCATTTTTTACTCGATTTGAGCAAGTGAATATACTATATTATTCTATCATGGAATAGAATATGAACCCACGAAATTTTATTCAAAATAACAAACGAGTCCCACTTTAATTTAGGCTCAAAATCGACCAAAATTCAATTTTTACACTTAAAAAATTGTTTGGGTCCAACAACTCTCTCTCTCAAGACTTTCTGAGGAGTTTTTTTAGTACCTAGAGATGAATTTGGATCCTCTCACTTTCAAATTTCATTAATCTTCATCAAATTGATTCACATTCCAATAAATTGATTGAGTGAGTATGAGTGATACTCTTCCATAAGTTGATAATATCATACATGAGAGAGAGAGTATGCATAAAGGCTTTATCACCCAAGATCAAATCATGATTAGATCCTACTCATGGGTGGTGGGTGAATGGAATTGGAGAAACTTGGAAAATTTTCCCAATGAGATGATATCAAAATCCTTCAAGATGTTGTGAATTGTGCACATGTATTGTATGAACTTCCACAAAAATTTGTTTTAAGTTCAACAAAATACCTACTTTATTGAGTCCATTTGAAACTGATTTATTTAAGTGTGAAACATTGATTTGAAAAACAAAATGAAAAAGTCAGAGGTAAAAACACTTTTAGAATCGTTTGAAGTGTTTCTAAAAAAATTAGCTTTTTCTTGAAAGGCCTTGAATAAGCCCCATTTTTCAGCTTTTCTTTGGTGTTGATAAAAACTATTTTTGTCCAAAAAATTGATGAAAAAACTGCCTAATAAATCCGGGTACAAATATAACAGACTTCTGTTCCTCTGAAACAAAAAAAAAAATTGTTGATTTATCATGAGTTCAATGCTATATTACTTAACCTGTTGGCCCTGATCGAGTAATTTATCTGAATTAGATTCCATAATGTATAAAGTTGATCGTACAAACTATAGATATGCGTTTGGTGCAAAATGTTAGAGTGATTTTTTTTGAATATAACTAGTTGACTTAATTCATTATAACTGTGAGTCTTAAAGTCGGATAAAACACTCTATAAATTTAATAACTGTATTGAATTAGATGATATTAAAAAATTAGGTTTGAATAACATTAAAAATCTTGATGACGAAGGAAAAGGTCAATTCGAGATGCCAACGTTTCCCCTGTTTCCCCTATAGACTAGTGCTCCAATCACCTATCCCTTGGATTGTATTTTTTTGTTTAACGGTCAGAGATATTTGGGTGAATTTATGTACATTTTGACTAATCTCATCTCTGGTTCGATCAAAGACAAGTCATTCACCCTGGGACTATGGTATTTATAGGAGATAAATTCGTCATGACTTGACCACAAAAGATTGGAAGATTCAAAAATCAGGATGGTCCTTGTTATCACTTAAGCTGGTCCGGTCAAAAGTACGTCATTCATGTCAGAACTAGGATATTCACAAAAGATAAATCCGTCGTGACCTGATTACAAAAGATTGCAAGATTTGAAATCAGGATGGTCCCATCATAATATTGAAGTTTTTACTTAGCTGAATTCAAAAAATATTTATTTCATTTCTTTTGATATAAAATTATAGATTATACAATAGTAATTTTTGGATTTAATTTTTTAAGTTAATGTATTACTACTATTAGATTTATATTATGTCCCAACCATTATGGCCTATTATCAATTCTGTCACAATGATTGATTAAACCATTAAATTAGGTCCTAATGGTGTTATTCTAAATTATATGTCATCATATTCTATTATACTCTGTAAGAAGCATATTTTTGAAGAAATTAAGCTTTCACAAATATCAATTTACATGGTGTATATTATCAATCTAATAATAATTACATTTAATCATATGGTATTTTATGATTGATCATGAAGTTACCTAAAACAACTACAATTTTACATTTAAAAAATGTAATTTAACATAAAAAAATAATAATTTTTGACATTTTGGCACCATAAAATTATCCGAAAAAACATCGGCCAAAAGAGAAATATGATTGATGGATGTGGTTGTTTTTGATTGAGGTAACTTGGTGAGACTCCCACCAAAACAATCGAGACCCATTGGTTTCTCAACTTTCTATGTGCACAATATATATATATACAATTCAAATTTTAAAAAATAAATAAAATAATTTTTGTTATTTGCGGTTGAGATCTCTTTAAATTTTATTTTAAAGTTAATTTGACGGCTAATATTAACACTCCAAATTTAATAGA